TAGTGAACAACTACAGAAGACCAACCGAGGTCTTGCACAACCCCAGTTTCCCAACATCAACATGTTTTGTCAACATGTCTGCCGGGTTCTTTGCACCCTCTATCTTCTCCAAGCTCATGTCACCAGCCTCCACTGCCCTGCGAGTGAAATGGTAACGTCTTCTGATATGCTTGGTCTTCGAATGATAGACTGGATTTTTCACCAATTGGATGGCACTTTGGCTATCTGAGTAAAGGATCTTCTTGCTCTGCTTCTTTCCCAACTCTTCCAGATAGTCTGACATCCAAATCATCTCTTTCCCAGCTTCAGCTATTGCCACATATTCAGCTTCAGTAGATGAAAGAGAAACACACTTCTGAAGCTTGGACATCCAACTCACTGCTGTTCCACCTATGGTGTAAATGTACCCAGATGTACTCTTGCTCGAGTCCACATCTCCACCAAGGTCAGCATCCACAAAACCCTGTAGAATCACTTCACCTTTGCCAAAACAAAGTGAAGTGCTGGATGTACCTCTCAGATATCTCAGAAGCCACTTCACAACTTCCCAATGCTCTTTCCCAGGGTTAGCCATGTACCTGCTAACAACTCCCACTGCATATGCTATGTCAGGTCTAGTGCAGACCATAGCATACATTAAACTCCCAACCGCCGAAGCATATGGAACACGTGTCATGTGCTCTCGCTCCTCAGCCGTCTTGGGTGACTGCTCCTTTGACAATTTCATGTGATTTGCCAATGGAGTAGTCCTGGGTTTAGCATCATTAACCCTGAATCTAGTCATCACCTTCTCAATGTACTGCTCCTGAGATAGAATTATAGTGCCAGCAGATCTATCCCGAGAAATCCTCATCCCCAAAATCTGCTTTGCCGCACCCAAATCCTTCATCTCAAATGCTGAAGACAGCTTTGCCTTCAGACTGTTAATCTCCCTCATACATGATCCTGCAATCAACATATCATCCACATACAAGAGTAGAAAGACATAAGAATCAGTGTATTTCTTGAAGTAACAACACTGATCCTTTTCAGCCTTGCAGAAACCACTCTTGATCATGAAGGAGTCAAACTTGTTATACCACAACCTTGGTGCTTGCTTTAGTCCATACAAACTCCTGTTGAGTTTGCATACCATGTGTTCCTTGCCCGGAACAACAAATCCTTCTGGTTGTTGCATATAGATCACCTT